CATAAATTAAACGACACCGCAAGAGCCAACAGTCTTCTTATATACCAAACGACTCGGCATAGCAGGACTTCCAGTTTCAGTTCAAGTTTCCAACACCGAGCAAATATATGGTCCCAATTGCCACTTCAGCAACTTTAACTATACATCAATTGTGACCGTGGGTCCTACTTAATTTTCAATGCAATTCAATATTAATTGGTGAGTGTGTTATATTAATTTGAGTTTTCTCTCAAGTTGTTTTTTGTTGTTGTGTTATTCGAATTATGTAAAGTATTATGATTGGAATTGTATATATGTGTGTGCTGCATGAAAATTTGCAACTGCATGAGAAAACATTCATCAGATCCAAATTTGCAACTTTTGTAATTGATCCCACATCAATGCAACTCACCATCCCACTTTCACTCCCTTGCCACATCAGGTTGCAATTCTCAAGAATTGCACCATTGGAGATGGTCTAAATAAGCAAGGTGTTGATGGTTTAGAGTATATATGGTATTGATTGGTTAGGGTATAAGCCTATAAGGTGTTGGTATTGTTGTAGAGTATATGGTATTGATTGGTTCGTGTATTAGGGTTTGGTTTAGGGTTTAGGGTTTGGTTTAGGGTTTAGGGTTATGATTCAAGTTAGAATAACATAAACCAGATCAATAGAGTAATGTTGGTAAACGAAAAAGTTGGTTAATCTACAAATAAGCAATGTGATGGATTGGTTCGGGTATAAGCCTATAAGGTGTTATTGTTGTAGAGTATATGGTATTGATTGGTTCGGGTTTAGGGTTACAATTACATGTACCAAATCAGTAGATTAATTTTGGTAAACGAAAAAGTTGGTTAATCTACAAAGCAGTCTAAAAACACATCCCCATCTCCCGCCGTCAATTCCTAAACTTTTCCTTTAATCCGACGGTGAAAGAGCTTCAATCCTAACCGCGGCGTGTCACCCAATCAGATATCGCCGTTTTCGGAAAGTCGCATTTGCCCCTAACCAGTGCTGACGTTACCAAGGCCGAGGCAGCGGTAGGGAGTGTGATTTTCAGTAAATGGGAAGGGCTGGAAAGGCAAAGTAAATTTATGAGCTCATTTATAAATTCTTTAATCAGAGAGGGAGAGACCATGCTCCGAAACCCGAGAGGCACTCATCTCCTGCTGTTGTTCGTTCCTTCACTCAATCCCTGAAAAGACCCCTTTCTCCCATCTTCTCAACCCCGAAAATCAACCCCATCCACCTCTTCCATGCTTTATTATCGGGTGCAGTGGTAATGATGAGACTGCTTATTATTTTAGATCTCAGTTCCTTTCATTATGTCATTGTTAGATCATGACTGTTAAACTAAATCCTTCGTTGTATTGTTTCTCCTTTGCTCTCCATGCAGGGTCTTTGTTAGAGGCAGGGAGGGGAGCAATGACAATAAGTCGCCGTCTGAATATAGCCGGAAGAATCATCATATGTTGTTACGATTCCATAATAGGTGTTGTGGAACCCTACGTCATATGATGGTTCTTTTGTGCTATATTGACGCGTACTTGTTGATCATGCTCCGAAAATATATACAAGAGGGGAAAGTTGCCATATGTATAGTATAAAAGTGGGAGGAGGGAAAGTACAGCTTTTTGTTTTTCAAGATTTGTACTTTTAGTGTTTGAGATCTTAATAATATATCGGTGAGGGATCTTTCACTCAATAAAAATACTGTAGTTTATTTCTTGATTACTGCCTCCATTTTCATAAGTCCTCTGTCGGCGCATGCTCTTGTCATTTCACGCCCAAATTACATTTCATAATTTTAGTAGCCAAAATTAAGTAACTTTATAAACAAGTAAAAAATCCGATTTAATAATTCAATAAAAAAAAACGAGTGAGAAAAATAATTTAACTGAAATGTTGTACATGATTTATTTAGGGAGCAACATCCATATCGAATTCAATCAAATCCATCCGAACTAAATAAAACGACACCGCAGATGGCAACAGTCTTCTTATAAACCAAAGAGGCACAATGACACATAATTAAAACGACACAGCAGACGGCAACAGTCTTCTTATAATTCAAACGACGCCGCTTCAAGCTGATAGTGGCAGTCTTCACATAGTCCATTAGTCCTAATCCGAATAGGATAAGGACGTCCATCTTCACTTCAAGTTTTCAACAATCCTTAGGTTGCTACTTCTTGTAACAGGCCTCTTCTGCAAAATCGATAACGACGATTTTAGACGTACACAAATATTGGATGCAACTACATTGTGTAGACACGAACAATTATATCTTATTCTTACCCTAGGTTGCTCGTAATCGTCGTCATTGTCATTTTCATCATCGTCATTTTCATCATCGGATGCCCCAGACCCAGTACACGTTCTTGCATTATGATTGGTAGAACCGCACTTACTGCAATGCTTTTGCCTTCTCTTCTGTACTGTTTCCGACTGATCTTGAGTGGTGGGAGGATCAACATCGGTGTCATCGCCACCGCCACCTTCTTCCGAAACACCATCATTCGGGGCATCACCGTTTGAGGTTGGCTTCACATAGCCAACAGGATGTGGGCATCGGGTCCTATAGTGGCGCCATTCACCGCAATTGCTACACTGTCGTGGTTCTCCTTTCTTCCTTTTAGATTTTTTAGCCCCCGAACCTTTAGCTTTGACCTGTAATGGATCCAACAAAATTCGCCTTCGGTCTATTAATGCCGGGTATGTCCACGTTGCCAGTGTCCACCATGTCCAACTTTTCACATAATGCCTGAATTCCCTCACGAGCAATCTTGAAGCAATCACTAGATTTTGCCCCTTTTAACATGAGTTGTAAGCTGTGTTGTTGAATACTACCATACCTGATTGACACAATATTTTATACAAAGTGAGTAAAATTAATGTTCACCTAGCTTCGAACCAATATAAAAAAAAAAATTAAAAGTGATAGTCATGGCAAACCTTAATGCGAAAAGTTGAGATTCATCTATTATGTCTGCTTCCTCCAAGCTCTCTAGTGTCTTCGGCTTCTTTGACCATCTTCGACGTACTAGGCCTTCAGGAAGTTCCAGTATGCTCTCTTCTTTCAGTACAAAAATCATATGACGGCATGGTATTCCCATATAATTGTAGTGATTACAACTACACTCCATTACAAAGGGTTCAACTGCGTACGTGACTTGAAAAACCTTATCCATGCCAGACACCTTGACCTTGTACACACGCTCAATTTCCGATCGCTCTGTCTCCAACCTTATGCAACATGCCGACTTTTCAACCTCGTCTCTGAATAAGAAGAATGCGTTCTTTGTGAAAACCGCCGCTCCACTCTTCTGAAGTGAGACTAAGACATTGCTTGTGATGGTTCGTTCTCGATGAATGGATTCAAAATCAGCATGACGCTCATTCTCCCTCATATCCCTAGTCCAACGATCAAAGTGAATAAAGAACTCAAGGAGATTTTTATCCTTCTCGATATAATTGGCAAGTTGAGAGTTCAGTCCTTCACATCTTGATGTTGTACTCAAGCCTGCGAAGAACTTCGAACGCAAATATGCATACCCCCATTCATGTCTTTGGTCAAATAAATTGGAGACCCAATTGTTGTGCTGAAGGGAGCATTCCTCAACCACTGTTTTCCACTTTTCTTCGAATTCTGAAGGTTCCCAGTCAGCTGACACAAAATGCTTCCATCGGGGCAAAAAAGTAGGATGATTCTTCACATTTCTGGTTATAGTCTTGTCTATATGCCAGGAACATAGACGATGTGTTGCATAGGGAAATACTTTTTGAATAGCATTACGCATTGCTCTATCCCCATCTGTAATAACAGTCTTGGGATCTACACCGCCTAGCCTTCTCTTCAAAGCTCCCAACACCCAAATATAATTGTCCTCTCTCTCGTTAGCCAAGAAAGCACATGCAAATACGCAAGTTTGCGAATGGTGGTTGACACCTAAAAAAGTTCAAACAAAGTTAGATTATGCAAACTTCTAGGGTTATTTTAGCATGCTCGGGATAATTCTATGTGTGAAGGAAAAGTACCTGAAAAAATCACGAGAGGCATCTGGTAAATGTTCCTTTTGTAAGTAGCATCGAATGACAGTAATTCTCCAAAGCATGCATAATCAGCAACAGAAATACTATCGGCCCAGAAAATGTTAATAAGCCGGTCGTCGTCATCCTTCTTTAGTTCAATAACGAAATGCTCGTCCGCGCTGCATTTAGCTTGCAGGTAGGCTAGGGCTGTTGCGGCATCACCTTCACTGATTTGTTCTTTCCTCTCTTTGTCCACATAATTATATGCATCCTTCCTCGTGTACCCCAAATTGTCGTAGCCTCCTGCTTCTGATACGGCCAGATTCACAATTTGAGAAGTTTTCATACCTGCAGCTCTTCTAAAATTTATCGCTGCTTTAACTGCATCACTCATACGACGTTTCCCTTTCATGTAGTGTCTATATTCTCTGGGGATCGTTTCATGTGTGTGTACATCATCAAACTGGTGCACATACCACTTCCCATCGACATTGTCTTGTTTAACACGCATCTTGGCTCTGCAGTTAAATCTGGTCTCCCCTCTTGCTTCTCTCTTTCGTTCTGTGCTCTTCACGCGCCTCTTTCCTCGCCAGAGCATACATAGTCACGCCATATCATAACTTTGTTCTTATCACGACCAATGTCTGATTTTCTGATGTCGAAGCCTTTGACTAACCCGTAGTCCATGTAGAAATCTGATAACGATGTAATTGCACATGTTTGCGCCCCTAGTTCTTATCCGTTTGAGGGGCATATTCGTGTGTTGTGGCCTATTTTATGCTAGGTTGTATTCCTTTGTCCCATTTCAGGTCCTAGCACATAAAGTGAAGCATAGGCGCAAGTTTCAAGTCAATCAGAGATCAATTGACGATTCGAGAGAAGAAACTCGGGCATGACCTGAAGAAGAATGGATTTATACCTCACTTTATGGACAAAGAATCATGCAAGCTTGTTATGAAACGAAAGAGGACGAGACTACGAGCGTCTGGGATCAAACGGCGATTGATTCGGAGTCCGGACGAGGGAGAAACGAAGCATTAAACAGAGGCTGAGCAAGCTGCACGGGCAGACCAGGGAGGCTGCACGGCCGTGCACGTGAGCAATATGGCCGTGCGCCTTATGCCGAGGACACGCACGGGCAACCCCTGAAGCTCGCACGGCCGTGCACCCTGGCCGTGCGAGAGGGCTGAAGTTCGACTAAATGACACGCTGCGTTTTGAGTTGCACGGCCAGAATGGTGATATGCACGGCCGTGCGAGTCGGGATTTCCTGGTTTTAAGCCAAATTCCGAACCAAAGAGGAGGGAGAGCTGGGTTTTGGATCCCAAACACCCAAGGGACGAACCCTAGAGAGAGAGGGCGATTTGAGGGCATTCTTGGAGTAGAGAAGGAGGATTTCTTCGCCTTGGAAGCTTGGGGAACAAGCTCGGACTTGAAGACTGATCATCTGAAGATTCTTACTGCAGTCTCTCTCTTCTCTATGGAGTAACTTCCCTTCACTTAGGTTTTGAGGAACCCTAGCTATGTTTGTTTGATTGGATGATTGTATGAGTACTCTGACTTGATAATCTTGAGTTCATATTCAATCTATGCATGTTTTCATGATTCAATTCTGCTTTAGTCGAGATTATTGATTCTGCTTTGATTCTATGAGAGGGAATACCTGATTAGGTCAATAGAGCACCATAGATTGATAGTAGTGGATCGATTGCTTTAGTCGAGGGTTGATTCACTGCTTTGTATCGATTGAGAACCTCTTTCGATAGAGGGAGTCTAGTTCAGAACGCCTTGATCAGTTGTTCTAGAGAAGGATACGTCCCTCTAGGCAATTGACTCAAGAGGGCCTTGTTCCTTTAGTCGAGACTCAAGGTCTACTCAAGGATTCTCCGCATTGTGAATGAAAGTGAAACAAGTTGGAAATCATCAATCGTTAGTCTGGCTAGTGGCTAGGGGGAATCATACCTAAGTGAGTTCCCAACCTGTAATTAGATTAACTTTAACTGTAGTTTGCTAGAGTAGTTTTAGTTCTTTTATCTTAATCTGGTTTGCTAAATAATAAACTGAAGCTGAGTAATAGTAACTCTAGAGACCCGTGGATTCGATATTTATCACTTGAGCCACTATACTGCAGTCCCTTCCATTGGTTACACTTGGCCATTGTTAGGTGTTGTGTCGTAGCGAGTCAAAATCATAGACTTCTTCTGTATCATCGAACTTCATTTTTTTAATATCTTCAGGCTGTAGAAATATGAGATCGGCGACATTATCATCCTGGGTGGTGTCACTGGCTCCGGCACCAGCGTTTTCTTGGACTTCCTCCGACGTCAATACTAGGACTTCCTCCGACGTCATTGTCACTGGTGAGTCTGCCGCCGACGTCATTGTCACTGCTGGAAATTTTGGGGAACCAAGGACGTAGATTACAAGACCCTACTGGGAATGACAGCCGAATTAATGCTTCAATGGGCCACTTAATAATTATCCCCATTAATAACACGATTTGTGATATCTTATATTTTTGGTAGGAACGAGTTGAACTTTCTGTTCTTTATCTTAGTGATTTCTTTACCATTTTCACAAATAACGAAAATATTTAAAATGAAAAAACTTTCTTAGTAAAGCCAAACGCCAGCTGACTCTAGCTGTGTACTACTACGTTTATGGGGAAGGATCAAATATTAATATGAGCGAATATTTACTAATAGCACCCAATTCTTTATTCGATCGAAAAAAGTATATTTTTAATTTTAGGTTTAATAACTACCCATGTTTATCCCAAGTTAATGTACCTTAGACTAAACCCTAACTATTTTTCCGCGGGAAAAATATGGCGCCACAATTTATCCTAACCTTGTATATATAATTAACCTTCATCGGTAGAGCAGTGGTTCCATATCCTTCTTTGCCGCGATTTTGAGTACAGAGTAAAGCTTAGATTAGAGGCACAACATGGAAAATAAGAGAATTACTCGCTCTTCGTCCAAGCTTGTGGTATGTATAATAGCTCTTTTTACCATTGAAATTCTAGTTAATTTATTAATCGCAGGTTCACTGTCATTGTAGGAGACAGCCGAATTTGTGACTCCAACAAAGAAACCAAGGATACCCAAATGTGTAAGCACTCCACCCACTCCTGCTTCAGTCATCGTTTTTATTTCGGACGATGAATCTGACTCCGAGGTCACACCAAAGAAGCCAAATGGAAAAAGTATTTGTCTACCTTCTGTTGACAAGGTAATAAAGGTGTCATGTTTGCCATTGAAGTGTTCTTTGCCGTTATTCCGTCATAACGAATGCATTTCCACTCGTGTTTATTTGTGGCCCCTATTCCAGGTTGTTTTGAAGTTTAAGCTACCTACCGCTATGGAATACGATGATGAGCAAATCCAGCTTGCTCACTATATATTTTTAGCCCATCTGCCACCTGACGAAGTATTGGTCAAAACCTCTAACAACTCTTGTACGAGGAAGTCATTGTGGTCCTTAAGCCCTCGCTCATTCGTAGATGCTGAAGTAATCAACGGAACTCCAAAATTTTGTTTTGTTTGTCCACTATCAATGCTTTCTACGTAGAATTATTTTATAACAACTCGATAGTATGATGAAGTGTTTTTTGTCCATGTTATATTAGGTTATAACAGCGATGGCCTGCCACTTGACTCTAGAAGAGTTGTGTACAAATTCCAAGGACGGAAAAGGAGTGTGCTATCTGCCTGCTGAACTACAGGTTGTGGTCCGATTATACTTAATGACAATTTCCTCTCACCAAAAAAATTACAACACATGTGTTTTTAACGTGAATCATATTGTGTTGACAAAATTTCAATTGTGCAACTACCACATGGGCAGGAACTAGTGATTTCATGTGGAATAACACCCAAGATGGCATTAGACCTATACCAATCAAAATTCCTTAGTCGAACCAATATGGTGAACAAGGTAAACTGTTCGTCTTAATAAGTATTACATGGTTTGCAGTTTATTTTTTTAATACGTGTTGACAATTTCCGCATATGTAGGTGTGTGTTCCGATGAGAGATAATGGCCATTGGTACTTGGCTGTCATTAAGTTGGACAAGGAAGAAGTCCATATCTTGGATCCACAACCAAATGAAGACCGCAATTCCTTTCGACTACAATCTGTTCAAACAATGGTAAATTTGTGACATTGTGCCGTTATAACGCAAAAAAATGTAAATAACTCTTTCTAAGTACAAACGTTTCTTAATTTGTACATATGAGCTTTATGCAAGCCTTGTGGAAGATTCTCTATCGTGAACAAGGATTGTCGCCACCAAGGATTGCGGAGTTTGCGTACCCAACTCCTTCAAAGGATCAAGAACAACTTAATCGGTAAGTATGCCCATTTTTTTGTGATATTAAACGACGACTTATCAACTTGGTTCTTATCACGCAATGCTTTTATTTTATGTAGGTCTGACAGTGGAGTCTGGGTATGCATGCGGATGTTTGGCGCAAGCTGGAACTCCTCTTATATTTGGGTAAAGACAATTCTAATTCGCATATTAGAAAACCACAATTGATTGTTATTTTTGAATCATGCGGTAAGCACCATGTTTGTTGATGTTGATAGCCATGCACTCAAGTGAGGAGGATGCAGATCGCTTTGTACCTTGTTCGAGAGCCCATGAACTACATAAGGCATATGGTGCTCACGGAAGCAAGAAGAGTTGCACCTCAAGTTGAAGCTGCAGTGGAAGAGTACAAGAAAACCCATGAAAAGAGGAAAAAGGAAAGAGAAGAGCACAAGGAAACCCAGTCAACGAGCCCAAGAACAACCTGATTTTGCGTTTTAGTTTTCAAGATGATGGACAACAGTTATGTTTTTTTTTTCTCAGGATGATGGACAACCGTTTTTTAATTTGGTTCGGTGAATGCTTATTATTTTTGGTTTTTATATTTGGTTTTTGGTTTCGTGAATGCTTTTTATATTTGGTTTTTGATTTGGTTTGGTGAATGGCTTTAATATTTGGTTTTTGGTTTGGTTTTTGGTTTGGTGAATGCTTTGTATATTTGGTTTTTGGTATTGTGAATGCTTGCTATATTTGGTTTTTGGTATTGTGAATGCTTTCTACATTTGGTTTGGTTTGGTTTGTTTTTTTGTGAAAATGGCAAAGGGACTTCATCAAAATTCCAGCTTCCAACTTGTGAGTGAGGTTGCTTCTGTTCAAGGCTTCAAGCCATTGTATCTTGTAGAGAGGTTTAATTGGGATCATGTATAGTTAAACTGATTGGCTCTCAATCGTATAATTAAATTTGCATTCATGTATAGGTAACCCAAAAGGTAAAACTAATTGGCTCCCAATCGTATAATTAAATTTGCATTCATGTATAGGTAACCCAAAAGGTAAAACGGATTGGCTCCCAATCAGTATAAATAATGACCAAACCCAGTACAAGGCAGATAGAAAATTCTTATGTAATTAATTTAATGTTCCTAGGATATGGAAAGGCTTCCATGTAAAGGATTGAAAGTAGTGATTTACATTGATGAGGAGAGTGGCTTAAGTACCAACTCTTGAACAGATTGAAGCTACAAAGTAGGAGCCACTAACCCACTAACTAAAACTTATGAGGTTACTAACTAATAATAATAAAATTAATTATTTACAGAAATTGAATTTATGCACAGCCCTTATCATTCCATTCCTTGAATTTCCACCAACGATGTTTTCACTCCCCTTTTAGTCAGAGAATTCATTGTAGTAATAAATACAATAAAAAGGCATACATAATTAATGGATTCTTTATTGTGTATAATTAAAAGGATATTTTACTATAAACGAAGCATGATAGATCCACAGGGGGATAAAAGAAGCATGAGTCTTGACGAAAAAGGGGGAAAAATCACCATAGATAAAAAATCATTATAATCAACCTAATTGGAACTGCTTAGAACAAAAGCGGATTTAAATTCATTTGCAATTTCATAGGTAGTCCCTACTTCCACTTCTATAATTTTGAGAAAACATTGCAATTTCATCAATAGTCCCCACTCGTGGGCCAATTTCAATTGCAACCAAATTTGCACCCTTGCAATAGCTTCTCACATCATAGCAAGTGTAGGATGCAATTGCACCTCCTTGCTTAGGGATGACTATTACTGCATCTCGTCACCTGTCTTAGGGAAATTAGCCATGGCAAATTCACAAAATACTGCATGCATAGAAAAATATTTTTCTGGATAATTAAAAAAATGGGAGACTTTCCTAGTCAGATAATGTACTGGCTCCCCTCAGTACCTGACAGTTTTGAGTGCTGGAGAAAAAGACTGGAAAAAAAAAAAACAACGAAGCCTTACAGTAAACTTCTTAACAAAACACATCCAATGCTAGCCCCTTCACTGCTCCACCCCGCCCTGCATCAATCGACTCTCATGTAAGCCGAGGACGTTTGCTTGAGGATGCCTCAGGGGTCTCTTCATGCTCCGTATGCCGAAGGTCATAAAAAGTATTGGTCACTTCGACGATACGGTAGACTGGCAAATAGGCGGAATGGTCCTCCCTAGCATAAACCCCCATATCCATCCCAACCCTTCCAAGAAAGGTGGTCAAGAAGGTGGCATATGGAAAGGCAGTGTACCAGTTTACCCCTCTAGGAGCAGCCTCAACCATGTTCATGCACATGAGAGATGCGAGGTTAAGAGGAACACCTCTTTGAGCTTGCACAAGGATAAACAGGTCAAGTTTACGAATTATCGAATGACCACTGTACCTTGGCATGAAGCAGTTGACGATCATCCAATGGAGGAATCGAAGAGGATCTGGGAGGAAAGAAGCCTGGATGCGCCCATTCGTCAGTCTCGCCAGTTCAACTTTGAACTCAAAATCGTACAGCCGAAGATCGCTTCTGCTATCAATGTGGTGTCCTGCGGCGGGGATATCGAGGATCTCAGCAAACTGATGAGGCTGGAAGCAGGCTCTATAACCCAGGAAGACCGACACGAGATGAGAATCGGAGGGACCAGACAGCTCTAAATTGTGGTAGAACTTCCTCACCACATGCGGGCAGTAACTGGTGCTTCCTCGACTCCGGAGATCAAAGAAATTTTCCCAGCCAAGATTTTTAATTAACTGCTTCACTTCTCGAGGGAAAGGGGACAGGTGGATGAACTCGTACTCGGCCACAATAGATGTCTTGCTCGTGAATGAAAGATAGTCTGCGAGACTTGGGGTGGATCGGCAGTCGTCGTTTGATAGAGTTAGTATGCCCATATCCGCAAACGATTTGCCTTTGTTTGCCATGGAGTCAGAGGAAGAAGGAACAAGGGAAGGTGAAGATGGAGGAAAGAGAGATTGTAGGTGTAAGAAAAAGTGATCGTGGGGGTTGAGTGTGGAGACGTGTGATGGAGACGGTTGAGTCTGGAATGTCAAGAGTTAGAAGATTTGGGAAGATATGTAGTAATGATGATGTTAACTCGTGTAGGTTAAACTAGGGTAACTAAAGCTAGTTAAACTAGGATTGGCGCTGATACCGCAGGAGAAAACTAATGGGCTCGCACGTCCCAGGCCCACTTTTGAATATTGCATGGGTCATGTACAAGCCCACGTTTGAATGTTATTTAAAAGCCTGCAAAAATCAATGATCAGACCCAGTCCAACTAGAATTAGTCCTAAACGCACCGTTAATACATAAACACAAACTAAGGAGACCTCTCCATCCGATTCGAATCAAATTATGTGTTCTTCATCTTCTTCCTCAATCCTCTGGGCGAGACGAACACTACATATCAGGAAACCTAAATTCACCGAGAGATATAAGGCTCGAGAAAATCACAATAACGCTAAGACAAGATGACAAAGCACTAGGGACATGAACCCTAGGGTTAGCAAACCTCTTTCAAGGGTTCTTTTGCAAATGAAAAGTTCGATGAACACAATAATAGACATGGTCGCCGTAATCGTGTTAGAAAGAGATAGGCGAGGGGAAATACAATGGCGAAGAAGAAACAAGACAAATTTTTTTTGGGAAATTCAATCTACGTCGAATGTGGATGGGGAGCTTCTCTTGGAACTGTGAAGGGGCGTCCCTCCAAGACGAGAGAGGGATCGTGTAATTGGTTAGGGAGACTGGAAATTGGTTTGGGCGGCAGTGGGTCTACCCAATTGGGTTTGGGTCTTAATCCATTTAATTTAATCGGGGCAGTTAGTTGGACTAGGATGAAAACAAACTTAACGCGGAGGAGGCTTTTTGTAATTTGTTTAGTTATTTAGTGGCGCAGTTAGGTTTAACAAACGTGAGCCGTGGAGATTGAAAACGAGCGGTTAAGATCGGCCAAAGTACCCGTACCCGGCTTTTGCCCTGGGCACAGTAGAAGTCACCATATATATATGCACAACTCATTTGGTAATACTGAATTTTCAGTTTCCTCAAGTATTTTGTTCAAACAATAGACTGACATATAAACCACTTGTACCTTGATAAATCATACCACTTGTTAAACTAGCGTAACCGTTTACGCCGATTTGACAACATTGTAGTCGTGGAAGATGATCTTCGTCCAGTTGCAAACTATGATAGTTTAATTGCAAAACAAAACTGAGTGACAGGACTCACCGTGTTAAATATTACTATGCCGAGAGTTCGAGACTCCCGACATGAAGATGAATACAAAAGCAAACGAACAAAATATACCCTGTGAAGGGTGACCACTACCATCAAAGTTACTAAAATCTATTCTCAACCCCAAAACTGCGTCGGCCTCTTCAAGGTACTATACAATGCCTTCTGCTACCCATCTATTTCAAAGATCACAAGAAGATATGTACAATCATGCTTTTACCCTTACACGCTCCTTAACCTTTTACCGCCAGCGCCTGCAAATGATCAATGAACACTTGCAAGCTGAAATCATCCGTGAGTATAACATCCGAGCCTTCTTTGTACATTGAATCCTGAGTCACTGATGGGTTCAGCTTGGCCAGAAGAAACCTAGCCTGACTGCTGTGTTGGTCACATTTTATCACCTTGGGTACCGGGACTCGATCCTCGACCAATTGCTCAGCATCGATCTCAGGGGCTTCCAATAGCTTCCTCAGATTCTCGTGGCTGGGGTCGTTCTGGTATCCAAGCTTCTTCCACTGGGCAATGTTCGAACCATAGTGTATCACAACATGGAAGTAGGAATCAAACAGCAAGATGATATCAGGAGAGATGGACCGAACATCCAGGAGAACAGGTACAGGAGGCCCATCGAACGAGTACTGGAACAGCGTCGGTTGTATCATGATGAGGGAAGTCACCACCCCTTCTCGGTTTAACATGAGGCGGAAGAATGCCGTCTCATCAGGACTCGAGTTGAAAACATCTATGAACTGGGATCTTCTCAGATAGTACATGAACTGAGGGTAGAGAGAGAAGTTTGACGAGAGCCGAAATGACGATGGATCTTCCTCAATATAGTCTCCAAACTGAGAAGCGAAACTGATGAGGTTGTCATCAAGCCATCTGATGACATCTCTAGCATGGAATTTCTCTGCTCTGTGGATGGCCAGTCTTGCCATTACAGCAGCAGCAGCTTCCTGATCAAAACCAGCACTAATTTCCGCAGACTTACTTCCAACCCATCTTCTTGCAGCTGTTGTGACCCTTTCATAGATTCCCAAGTTCCCACGACGAAAACGGATTATGAACTGAATAAGGAATGCTGACCCTGGCTGGGCCTTCTGCTCATTCCCCACTTCAAAGAAGAAAGCTATGCATGTCCTATTGGTTAGTGTACCCAACTTCCACAAATAGGTTCCACCTTCGCCTATTTGATGGTCGCTTACTAAATCATTCTTTCTCCCAAGAGACACACAAGGTCCAAGAGCTCCACAGACCTTTACATCTTTAGTGGTCACTATTTCGATCGTTCCATCAAAGTACATTTTTGGGTTTCCGTCTTCATCGCGAATGAATATGTGGCGAAGGCATTTTCTGAACTCATGGGAGTCGAATAACTCACTCAAGAGCAAGAATCCACCTGATTTCTCCACAGAGGATTTGAGTTCTGCTGCTCCTACTTGATCAAGAGAACAAGCAAATAAATCAAGAACAACAGATGCATCGGACAGCCGCTGAGACAAAGTGCTGTAGAAACTAAGAGAGCTTTTGTAGTATGGGGCATGGCCACTGATGAGATCCCTGTGAGTCCTAATCATGCTCCCAAGATCAGAGTCAACCACGACACCCGGGCCTAAAGTTGCAGGTCCAGATGTGAATACCATGATCCTGGATCCAGTATTCACACAACATCCTTCAAGGAGTCCAAGAGCAACAGCTATTGCTGTTCCAGTGCACCTTTGAGGCCGATGACCAGGCTTGCAAACATCTAAAGAACAGATTTCTTCAATTGCAGTTGTTATGTTGAACTCGCATTCTGACACTGGAAGCAAAAATCCCTGCTTTTGGATGATTGGCGTATTAACACCAAGTTGCTGTTGCTTTCTGATGGGTAACCCCAGAAATCTTTGAGTCTGCATTTCGAAATATAAACATAAGAATCGCTCAAATTTGCACATCAATGCACCGTCAAAAGAGAACTTTAAGTAAACATCATCATTTATCCAATGCTATCGCATAAGGTTCTGTTGTTATTCAAACTTCATCATCAAGAACTTACACTAGAAAGCCCAAGTGTATCAATCGGAGAAGCGATTAGGATTCCTCGAGGATGTTTTCATCTTAATGTTCAAGAATATTTATCTCACCTTCTGTGCTATCTATGATCACTGGTATTTCTAGTTAAAGTTCATACAAACACTATCCAAATTGATCAAGAAACATAGGAGTTATAGTAATAGTCTATTACTAATAGAAATCATTTACCTGCTCTGATGAGAGCTCACGCCCACCATGAAACACCACAGCCCTGGAGCAGTCTGAGAAACCCAGATCACTAACCCTAACCATGGAATCAAACGCAACCAAACCCACCAGTGCATTCTCCGGCAACTGATCCACAACCAACAGTAGCTCAGTCTTAATCGCTTTCAGCTCCTCCTCGGCCGTGCTAGCATCCACTACAAAGACGAAAGCAGGCCCCACCTTCCTGAACTCACCGCCGCCTCCGCCACTTCCACCACCACCACCGGCCCCAAACCTCGGAGAGCCCAACGACGCCATCGAGGAGAGCGACCCATTGGAAGAAGGCAATCCGTGAGCCAATCGGTAACTCAACTGCGAGCTCGTGCCGATCTTCGCTTCTTTCTTGTCGATTTTGTACTCCACGGCACTGTAGGTCGGGAATAGCTCCGCGGGGAGATTCGATTCGCCGATGCCCGAATAAGAAATCGGGAAAGTGTTGCGATGGTAGCAGAAGGGGCAGCTCCAAATGCGCGTCTGGTAATCGACCCTGGCGTAAGGGTTCAACACGGAGTTGCATCGAGTGCAGTGGAGAGGCTCGTAGGGCAGAATCGGGAGCTCCGACGACTGCATCAACGGCGTGCACATGATGCTGAGTGGGACTACGAGTGAAGCAGCATCGGATTTCGTCGTCGGCCAGGCGTTCCACGACCATCGCAGGCCTTCCGTCGCTTCCAGCTCGACGAAATCCATGGCCGGATCGGTTTTTTTCTGATCCGCTGGAAGGTATTATTTCTTTCTTACCTATTCCTAAAAGGATTCCATGGAGTGAGACGAAAGGTATAAGTGGGGAGTTGTGAAGAACAAGAAAAGTGAAGTGAAAAGAACTGCCGGGGGAGAGAGTCGTCGAGGGTTTAAGAGCGGCGGCGATTTCGATCCAGGCGACCGCCGGCCGATTGAGAATAAAGAAGAAATGGGAAAAGTGAAAATATATTCTGGAAGAGGAATTTTTGTGTTTGCAAGTGGCGATTGCTGTTTAGGTGGTGGAGTGATGGGTAGTTCTGAACAGAGCGTACCAATGGGTTGTGGCCACGTCAGCGTTTGGGCTCCTTTTGGTGTGGTCAAAAGTTACGACTTTTCTGTAGGTTTGCAGGCTTTCGTGAGGGCTTAACGGCCGAAAGGTTTTGGGCTTGTACCCTTGACCCAAATAAAAAGATCCAACCCAATATATTGTATTCTTGGTTTTAGGTTTGTGCGCTAGCCCACAAACTCCACGAACGGCTTGAGGGCTTAACAGCCGACAGGTTTTGGGCTTGTGCCCTACCCCTGGCCCTAGATGCGATCGTAAGATAGTCATGGGAGTTACAAGAGATTTATTGATGTGGTTTTCATCCTATAATATGGCTAATGTTTATTAGATCCAATAGACAATGATGAGTGCTACATACTTCTATCTTGAGGAATCGGGATAGTTCAATTCATTGGTGATCTATTGAGATAGTCGTGTCCAGTCTCACACATAATATAGGTTTCAAGCAATCAATCATAAGAAAAGATAGTAATAGAACGACGAACAATTATATTGAAATGATTGCATCAATAAAGATAATAAAAAATATCAAATGAATGATATCAATCCATCAACTCAGGTTCAAAATTATACACAATAGATCATTTTAGCTACTCGTATTTGAGGGAAACACAGAGGGATCGAGTTGGAAGAGAATCGGCCTATTCTCTGAAAACGACGGATGTTCAGCAAAAATGGTTCACCTAGGTGCTATTTTGGCTGCCATTTTTGTTATATGGGTTTTCTAAACAAAGTTTGAGCTGTGGAGTTACTGTGGAGGCATAGCAAAGCAAACCCCGGTAAAGTTGTCTCTCATTTGGAGCCCGATGTGATGTATTTATAGGCTTGAAGAGTTGGGGTTTTCTCAGGGTTTTCTACGGATAACTCGTCTTGAGGAGCCTACTATTGTCACCCAACACTCTAGACTTCAATTTTGGACTTGAGAGCTTCAGAAATTGAGTTTTTGGCTCTTCTTCAATTTTGGTGGGTTTGGCTTCTATTTTGACCTCCAAATCCATCACCTATTGAACCTTGACGCTCGTATTCTCGTTTATTTTCATGTCATGATCACCCTTTCCGATGTTTTATTACCCTGAAATTATAAAAAAAAAATATCCAAAAAGACATCAAATGTTTAAAAACAATCCTAGAGGCTATCAATCACACATTAGAGAAAATACAAGCAAATCCAATGTAAAAATAACTAAACATATGAAAAAATTATGCAAAACATAGTATTTCCTCCGATTAAGAGTTGTCAATAAATTAAAGAGTTGTCATTTGAGTTTTAGAACTATTTTGAATCCTCTATTTGATTGAGTCTCAACACTGCACAAGCAAAGAGTCCTAAAAATACTAATCATATATATTAACCAACATATTTTGAATGGTCATTATGTTTTCGCATACACCAACACCCTATTAGTGTTGCACCAGTCTCCCTAGGTCACATATCAACACGACGAGTAGCAATTTCAAGCAAGTTGAATACATTTATGCACCAGCAAGTGTGCCATTATAATTTTTTTTTAAATGTAGCACGTTTAATTCACGGTTACATTATACCCATAGTTTGAATAGGTACAGATGAATTTTTTCTAAGAATTATTTGTTTAATTTATTTTCGGGAATGAAAAACTTATCCTCGGCCAAATTAATTAAGTTGTTTTTCTGAAAAGTACAATATCATTTTCATCTTAAGGGATAATATATCAACTTATTATGTAGAGAATTTATTTCATAATATTGATGGTTTGCTACTCCATAAGCATATATGAATTTGTTTGTCCTTTTGATTCTTAGCAAAATAAGGTCTTTCACGTATAAATGGTATGAGACAAATGCATTTGTCGTTATAATCGTAGCACACATTCCCAATATTCTTGTTATCATATCTACTCCTTTTCTTGTCTCTATTTTCTTCAATTTTCCACTTTTGGAGAAAATATGGGCAATTGGAACTTTCATTTCTCTACATTCAGAAAGTGACAAGGATAAAATGATACACATAAATTCAAAAGATGAAGACATGCATAAATCCATAAGAACATGCATATTGCTATTTCAAGAACTTTTTTTTGTGACAATATAAAAGATATTATTTTACATGACCAACATCCATCATAAGATTGTATGATAATGTAAATCAAATGATAACCCAAATGTTAAAACTATGGTTGAACTAGGTACAATATCCATGGATGGCCGACTACTTATTGAGAAATAAGTAGCATCATTTTGGATATCGAGATAATAATAACAAGATAATATCCACAAGAATTGAAAAAATATTTGATGTACTTTAAACAATGAATCTTTCTTACAGAATCTAGAGTTTCATGCTGATAACGTGTTATGAAATCATAAGAATAGACAACAAAACAAGAGCAAAAATAGAGAGAAAAATACAAGAAAATATGGAAGAAGAGTTCTTATGTGTCTCAGTACATTTGTGTAATATGTGTGTTGTTGGTCTTTTGGGCTCTTGTTACAAAAATAGATATATTTCATAACAAATTGGTATATATATATATGTTTCGTGGATGGTTGACTTTGTGAATCCCGAATCGGCCCGGATTCAAGGCACTTAGCTAAGAAAGTTCTGAGTGCCAGCCTTGGATGTTGGGGGAATGTTTTGGGAGGTCGGAGGAGGAGGCAATTAGTTGGCCGCATCCGCCGCCTACCTTCCCTTTAGTTTATTTCAGGGTCTCTTCCTCCTTTGCTAGGCGGGTGGGGAGAAATAGTCCTTAATTCATTATGCATAGAAACCGCATCTCCATGGATTAAGAAAAGAAGAAACCGACCTTTTAACCCTTTTATTGGTTTCCCATATGGTGTGTAATTAAGTATGCATTTTCCCTTTCTACTAGTTGGTACTTAAATATGATATGGGTTTGTGTTTAGATATAAATTTTTATGATCCGTATTTAAGCATAAAGCATGTCATGATTGGTTTAATAAATATATTTGCTTCTATGTGGCGTCATTGTTGTTGAGAGCATCAGCCAACTGATGAATGGTGGAGCCGTGGAGGTATGATAAATTCTCAGACTCCATTGGCATGAACAAGTTGGTAGATCAAGTGGTAGTCCAGAGATAAGTGTTACATACGAGAATGAAACACTGAAGTATGCGACTCTCAAATTGTTCAAATATAGCACATGTGGTGTTGTGTGTGTGTGGGGTGGGGAGGGAGGGGGATGATGTAGTTCTCGGAGTAAATTTTGAACCCACTCTAGTTTTACGATAACATGAGCAATGGCGCGATACTTGACTTCTTTGTTGGAATGGGTAACTTTGCATTGTTTTTGTGAGCAACAAGAGATGAATCTGGCTATAAATAGATGCGATATGTGAAAGTCGAAGTCCAATCAGCATCATTACCAGCAATAATTATATTCAACCAATGTAGATAGAGTGAGCGAAAGTGACCGACGACTAATACATAGTCCATAGTGCATGGTGTTACAGATATATGGCAAGATACGCTTCACATGATGCCAATGGATGGAGGTAGAAGCATGGATAAATTGAGAAAAGGGAGTTTTGGCGAAAAGAGGAGTAGGACCTGTATTGTATTGGCATCAAGCATGTGAAACCTTGTGAGAACATCGTGCTATGTACTTGTGTTGAGATAGTAGGAAGCCATTGGTTTTGGGAACCCAAACCTTCCATGCCAAGAAAATAGTCGACCTCGCGACCTAAATTTTTTTAGGAATAAATATTGTGATGGTTGATCCTATAAGGCATATATAGTCTTGAAATCGTTCCCCAGTCATCTACACAAATGAGAAATTAGACGGTTATATGTTGCCGGTTATAGATAAGAATCATCTATAAAACTATCAGAGGAAGAGGTAAATACAAATAAATGCATGGTTGTATCTGTGGTGAATCAAAACTATTCGTTGTTTATCCTCATTATCTCTATTAACCCTGACATCCATGATAAATATTATATATATTTTATCAGCTGATAAAGAGCTTGAGTAGCCAATTGTTATCCTCATATAGTGATTTGAGATGCCATTGTTATTGTAAATATGTAATTGATTCCAACACCATGATTATGTTATCTTTGTAGTCAGTTTTACACATCTAAACTAACCACTTGGCCCCAATAACTCGAGTTATTGGAAAATGGATAATTAAGCCTTTTTAATCTCTTACACGCCCCCTCAAACGAAAATCGATGCCGAATTGTGAATTTTTACGGTTTGCACATGTTGAACCCTTGTGTTGCCAAACCACGAGGCTTTAGTTTGCACAGGGTGGACATACCATCCCTTGTGCTAAACACATGGCTGAAAGTGGGGGTCGTCATGGGAATTCGAAACCATGAAGCTTCCGGTTCTAGGCTTTGGTACCATGTTAGCGAACTAATTTACCACTTGGCCACAATAACTCGAGTTATTGGGAAATAGATAGTTAAGTCTTTTTAATCTCTCACCTAACATATTTTCCAAAGAGATGATTATCATCTTAGATTTTAGTAAGTTAAACCCTGGGAAGATAGATCGCTTATATCTGCTTGAGAAAAGATAACACTGCAAAATAGATAGATAGCTAGTAGTGCACACTTTTAATGAAGTAAATACACATATGCATATAGAAGTTGCGGCAAGTTGCCAAAAATTATGATTTTGTGTTCCCTTTAACATGTGAATATGTATAGGTGAGGTATAATTACTGTATAATATAACATGAACTCCTGCCACAAATCTCTCCCAGATCCAAGAAGAAGAAGAAGCTTTCTTTCAATTTATTAAATTGCTTAAAATGAGTGCATGTGTCTGCCCACAGACACAGAACAGAGACACCTATCAACCGTTAGTTCAAAGTTTGCAATACTTAATTTTGACCTAAAATCCGGTTTTAGGATCCCAAAAACATTCATTGCTTTACAACTTCTTATAAGTTCTTTCTATAACTTGAAAGACGCGTGGACCCTTTCACAACCCAAAACAGAAGAGCTTGATCATAATCTCAACTAATGTAAAAAGTTTATCTTCTGATTTCTTGAAAATGAAAAAAAATGAATTTTGGTATTTCTTTTTGATTGCCATGATAAATAAATTCAAATCACAATCACAAGGCACCAAAACTCTAAAACCCTATAAAAGAGCCTTCATCCTCATGTAAAATGTGAGGGGATGGGATTACATGATTTATTTTTATATTTTTTACTTTTAATTTTGGTTCACCTAGATCTTTAGATCGAAAAATTGTGTATTTGAATTTCGATAATTCCCATTGTTAACAATAAATTAAACACAAAACACTATGGAGTTATAATATATAATGTAGAATTATTATAATTTTTTTATTAATTTATCATAATTATCGAGATCAACTGATTATTCGTCGAAATGAAAAGATGCCAGTAGGGTCTACCGGTCTAGGCCCTCGACCATCGACAACCATTAATATGATTTCCAACTACATTCACTCAAACAAAGGCTCCATTCACCAATCTAAATGTATGTGCATGCCTCCCCCAAACTTGGTTACCCAACAAAACCGAGTAATTAATATATATAACTTATTGAAATGAATAAATAAATAAATAAATATTTCCCCCCCTTTTTCTATACTGTTTCCAGTATATTCCTGTACAAAATAATGTCCCTCTCCATATGCTGAGAGACTACCCCCATCAACATGCACATGGCTTTGTTCCCCCACCTCACTTGCCTCATAAATTCCTCTCCCTCACCAAAACTACAATATTACATTTGATAACAAATTAACAATGGCACTTGACATTAAAAAAATAAAAACCCAACACCAACATGATAACATTAATGGAACAAATTTGAAAGAGATTAAATATGAAAGGAATATAAATGAAACATACTAACTCAACAAATTTAACAACAAACAACACTTTTAAGAGAAGCACATTGCAGCGAGAAATTTTTGAAAACAGTGGGGATCGGATGACATTAGTAATAAACAAGAGTTTGCATGGCAGACAGTTAGGTTTATTGTTTTGCTTTCTTGTCTATTACAAATGTCTAGATCTCCAATTCTTTTCCACATATTTATCTATGTACCATTAATCCCATCCAAAGTGAAAGTTACAAAACAGTGCCATAACAAAAAAAAAAAAAGAAAAAAAAAGAGAGTCACACAAATACTCCCCAAAAAATTGAAAATTACTTGAACAAGAAGCGACGGTAAAAATATAACATGAACACCCAATTAATAGTTTCGGCTCCAATTTTAAGGACAACTTTCATTTCATCAACAAGAAATGCACATCCATCATCAAGCTCTGCTCTTGCACTTTTCCATTGCTCTTGGTGCTGAAAATTCCGTCAAATTAATATTCCTTAGCTTATGTTCATAATTAATTAATGAATGAAAGAATTTTTATTTGACCAATGAAAAAAAGTCTTGGTATACCTAGTCCAATAGCTTCAGATCCCTTCATAATGCGCAGACGCTTGCATGAATCAACGAACATCCTGTGTGACATCGACAATTAAATTTATCAATAGCCAAATATAATGCGTATAGTTAATAGTTATTACTTTTATATATCTAGACAGCTGAGACAAGTATTTGTTGTGATAATTGGTTTCGACCCTGCAGCTGCCTAGCTGGCCTGGCAGTGCTTAACAATTGCTCGTAACCCGCAAAAAAAAAAAAAAAAAAATCTTAATATGCCAGCTTAGGAAGATTTTATGTCGCAAGCTACAACTTAAATAACAAGATTGAGGATGATGACGAGGGAAGGTGGTGAACTGGTGATAATTATCATCACAAGTTGGCAAGAATACTAGCTAGCAAGCTGATTAGTTTTTTTTTTTTTTTTTTTTTTTTGCTGTACAATTATTTTTCTTTCGACCATTATCATCATTATTATTAATTTATTATAGCTAATTAATCATGTATTACTTGTATTAATAATTATGAATCATCGATAATAATTAGGAATGAAGAACATACTCCCAGGGGACATCGCCGACAAGCATCCAGTCGCCGTCCTTATCCTCATAGCTGGGCACATACTCGGAGCTGTTGAGCAGATCCATCAGCTTCCTCTCGTTCATGAAGTCGATCATCCCTTCCGCTCCATAATTCCCTGTTATTAATCGTATTAACAATAATCATTACTTTTTAATTAACCACGAGACACAGAAGTTCATAAATCTATAGATCTATTGATCACGAGTGAAAAGAAAAAAAATGGGAAGGAGGAAGGTAGGCATATTATATTATATATACCCATGGTGAAGGAGGAGAACATTTTGGCGAGCGCGTCGGAGAGCTGCTGGTAGCTGCTGTACATCTTCAGGTCCACCTTCCGCAGGTACGGCGCCCCGTCCATGCAAACCTTCACGAACGCCGCCGCCGACGGAGCCGGACTTGCACTCGTCATCATCTTCTTCTTCTTCACATCTTCCTCACCGCCGCCGCTGCTGCTCTTGTGCGTGGTGGTAGCCATCACGTTCCTCCTGTACGACCTAACCGGCGGCCAACCCACAACTTGCGCCCTGCACACCCCGTTACTCGCGCGTTAGGTTCGAATTTCTTAAGTAGCAACGCGGCGGAGGGAAAAAGAAAAGAAAGAATGAAGGGTGCGGATGGTTAATTATTTAAAATAAAAAAACAAAAAGATGTACTTGGCGGGGGGCTTGGTGGCAGCAGCAGCGGATTTTGTGACCGATTCGTTAGTGTCGAGGTTGTTGTTGTTGTTATCAGCAGCATCATGGCCGTCGAGCTTATTATTGGAGTGGAGGTTGAGCTTCAGATCCACGGTCTCGGAGAAGCCTCTCTTCCCACTCGCCTTGGTCGTCGGCGCGTCCACAAAATCAGGGGCCTGCAGCTTCCCGGCGTCGGCGCCGGGGAGGCCGAGGCAGAGGTCGGTCGCTCTCAGGTTCAAGTCACAGCTCGCCATTTCTTTCTTTCTTTCTTTGTGTCGCTGCAGATTACTACGGGATTGCAGTGCTTTTTTTTTCTGTGGGTTTGTATTTATGTTTGGGGGAAGGGAAGGGGAAGAGATGAAAGGAAGGAAGGAAGAGAGGGGAACGGTGGTGGTGTCGAGCGGCTCAATAATATAGTTGGGTTTTTTGTTTTGGGTGGGAGCTGCAACTGCAATGAAATGAAATGAGGAAGAGGGATTTTATTGGGTACATGCGGCTGTATGATGGAATGCCGATCAGGAGTGGGGGTGTGATCGTTTGTCTTATTGACAAGTGGACGGTAGGGGTGATGTTTGGTGTGTTTAGGAATGATTCACTTTCATCAAACTGTCTAGTGAGATGAGAGCCGCACTTTGTTTGCTCCCTAACTTTCTCTATAGTACCTACCTACTAGTAAGTTCACGAAATTGATCGTTACAATTACAAAAAAAAAAAAAACGATAATTGACAATAAATTTAGGTGTATATTTTCATTCCATTAATTAATCGCACAAATTATTATGTGTAACTTAATAAATTTTCATAAACAATCTCATCAATTCTCTAAACCAATCACACTTTTACGGTCTGTGTTTGACCCCCGACTTTTAGAAGTGCTTTTGTAGTCTGGCTCATCCTCATTTCCCCCGGAACCTGAACCATCAATCATAGAAACTGCATCTCTATGGATTAAAAAAAAAAAAGACAATGCAGTTTTTGTGTTTGACCCGATTTTTAGAAGTGCTTTTATAATCTGGTACATTCGATCCTCATTTTCGCCGGAACATGAAACCGAGCATACATCGATCATTTGGATCGTCATAAACAAATGTTGTCACCAAAGACGAAAATGTTATTGAATTATCTTCCATCATCTTATATGAGCATGTTTCATTCCTTGTTCAATTTAAATGCGACTCTTGCATACCCAATTCTAACACTTTGTTATCAAAGGGGGGAAAAAGAGTGCGATAAACAAAATTGGAAGAAAATGAAGGAATTCAAAACTTTTCCCCTTTTCATAAGTTTTTATATAGTACTGAGAAGTGATTATTTCGGGGGACTACTGTTAGAAATCGAACAGGAAAAATTAGGTTATCGATCTGACTGAGTCGCGGACTAGGTCGCTCTTTTTAAGACGTTCGCGACACTGCTTCGTTATTCGCACAACAGACTATCAGCCGGTCGCCTCCAGGATAAAACATCCACTCTGACTTGTTGGTCATCGGTTTTGTGCGAAAACCGGAGCTCTATAAATTCACTCTCTCTCGTGTTTCTGCTCTTCTGAGGTGTGTTTAGAGGGTCTAGGGGTCTGCTATTTATAGGAGCAGAAAACCCAGAATATTCCCTCTTTCTTTGGGAATAAGTCGCATTTTAATTAGGAAGATAATTACTCCCATAATTAAAATATATTATATTAAGATAATTAATCCTAATTATCTCCATAATATTCCTTTTATTAATTATCCATCTTATATTCGTATCTAGAAAGAATACTGGATAATTAATTCAATATAGCTTTCAAAGCTATTCATTCCCAACAATCCCCCACTTGAATAGTTTTGAAACTATCTCTGAGCATCAACAGATCCATAAGATCGGGCATAAACTAAGGTATCACGAAGATTTGAACCTTAGCGTAGTGGTTACACTTCCGATTTCTAAGGGTGACTCGTACGTAGTCTTGAACCCTATCTCAGACAATGTAGCACACCGGATCTTTTCAATGAGTGATATTCTCTCATAGGCCGTGCGTTTATGGCCATGCACGTTATCCCGTTTTAGTGAACTCTCTAGCAACTTTGTACCTCCAAAGTTTCATAGGGAGCGGCCCCACTCCCACATTCACATAGGTGAGTCTATCAATAGTACCCCCAAAATAAAGTACTCCACCCCACATAGGGTATAGATCTCATTAAGAGTTGTTAACTCAACCTCCATTGCTTTGGGATTCATGCTTCACTATGCATGAGCTTTTCACATACTACTCATGACTTGTTATTACCCATTGAACCCATTTCTTGGGATCTCCAGTCTATTGGGTCGAGTTACCATCACTTATAGTCCGTGGTTCGGTAGGCATAAGTCCCATACTCTTCGTGGTATTTTGGACTTTCTATCTAGATAATCCTTTCGTCAAAGGATCAGCTAGATTCTGTTAGGATCTTACATGATCCACCCTCATTGCTCCTATCGTTAGGAGTTCTCTTACAGTACTGTGCTTACGACGAATTTGTCGTCTCTTTTCGTTCTAGAACCGGTTCCCTTCTTTAGTAATAGCTGCGATGCTATCACAATGAATCAACTACCGGAGTGATCGGTCTTCCTCATAAGGGAATCTCTAGTAATGACCCTCTCAATCAACTTTTCTCTTTACTAGCCATTGCTAGCTCTATCATTTCTTATTTCTTAGTTGATTGAGCAAAGATCGTTTACTTCTTAGAATTTCAAGACACAACACTTCCAGTGATGTTTAAAACATGTTGATAACGATGTATTTGCACATGTTTGCACCCTTAGTTCTTATCCGTTTGCGGCTAGTAGTCGTGTATTTTGGCCCGTTTTACGTCGGGTTGTGCTACTTTGTCATATTTCAGGTCCCAGACGTCGATGGAAAGGCTAAGCACGAGTTTTGGGGCATTTGGAGGTCATTCGGTTGAGCTGGGGCCAAAGCACGGGCATGAGGCCAGAAGAACACGGCCGTGTACACAAACAGGCACTCTAGTGTTTTTATGTGCGGGAGCTGAACTGATGGAAAAGCAAAACATGGGCTGGCCTAAAGAAAAACATGGTCGTGTCCATATTTAGGCACGACCGTGTTTTGGCCGACGCGGGCGTGTTTTTAACACGTGGCAAGGGCATGGACGGGCAAAAGCAAAACACGGCCTTGCCCTCGACCGTGTTTTGCCCAGAGTCGACCTTTTTAGGCAGATTTGAGCCAAAAGAGAAAGAAGTCCGAGTTTTAGAGAGACAGAGCGATACCTAGAGAGAGAAAGTGACGAAACTGATCCTGCAAGTGTCATAGATCGATCTCCATCACCATTGGAGCCCGGCTTGAGCTTGGAGAAGACCTGATTGAGTGCCAGAAGCAGATTATCATCCTTCACAGTATGGTTTCCGCATCTGAACTAGATTTTCCATTTCTCTCTATGGAGTAGTTTTCTTATTCACCTGGGTATGAAGAACCCTAGATTTGTATGTTAGGTCTGATTGTATGAACCCAAGTACAGATTCATTGGTATGGTTATGTTCAATTGAGGTTTGATTTGTTGAATGGCATGAATCCTGATCAAATTCCTGTTGTTTCTGCTTTAACCTAGAAAGAGAATATATGCCTAGGTTGATAGAGCACCCTTGATTGAAGGTAGTGAATTGGCGACTTTAGTCGAGGAGTCAAATCACTATTCTATACTGAATTTACTTCGGTAGTGGAGGTTTGGTTCGTTAGGGCCTCAATCTGTTTACTCCGGTGGAGGTTAGTCGCCCGCTGGAGACTCAGATTGAGAGGGTCTGGAGACCTTTAGTCGAGAATTCAAACTACTTAAGAACCTTCCACAATATAACTATCATTGAACCTGAACTTGGTAAATTACAATCCGGCTTAACTGCAGTCTAGGGGGAACCATATCCGGGTGACCTCTCTCGACTTGAAAACAACCTTTTTACTTGCTTTGCTTGTTTGCTTGTTTAGACCTTCACTAAAGTTTCACTGCTAAATAATAAGAACTCACGGAGTAGTCATCACATCTAGGACCCGGGTTGACATTAAAACCCAAACCCGCTATACTACGCTTTAGGAGGTGGTTACACTTGGCCATTTTCTAGAGTGACAGTAGGAGCGAGTCACATGTCCACTGGATGCATTGGAATCTTCTATTGGGTATTCTCGTCCGTACCAATACAGCCAGAAACCGTTGATAACTTATATCAAGGTCTACTGTTCTGAAGGTGTCTCATGACCCCTTTCAATAGCATTTCAATGCTTCATACTAGGACAATCAATAAGCCTGCCAAGTACCCCCACTAAATCGGGTCTCATGTTTATCAGCTGCCTCTCGCAGACTGTCGATGCTAGTATATTCTAATTTTCTTACACTGTCTTAGGTGTTCTTTTTAAATTTACCCTAGCATCATCAAACATGTATGCAGGTCTACAACTTGTATTTTCCTAGTCATCAGGATCTCCAAACATAAAACCTGTTTCATCCATATCATTCAAAATTCAAAATTCTCAAACAACATGATTTATCGCAATATTGACATCACGAGTCTTTGTACCAAAGATCGACATGTCATTCATAATGCAAGTATCATTCTCAAATTTGTACTAAATGAACTTGCCGCTTCCATTTTAAAACCATGAGAGAGAATCCGATTATTCATGCTATTGTTCTGAGTCTGTTTCAAATCCTATCATGATTTGTCTAACCACAGACTCCAGAAGCATGTTTAAGAATAACAACTTCTTAGGTTGTCTCATGTAGATTTATTTATCTAAACCACCATTCACAAAGCAGTTTTAACAATCCATGTGACGCGCAATACTAGCAATCATACATGGATGTTATTCTAGATGTGGTGAATAGATATCAAAGAAATCCTCAATTTTTCCTTCTTCGCCTAATTTTTTCCTTCAAGATCCAATTAAGATTAATATTCCTTTTATTAATTATCCATCTTATATTCGTATCTAGAAAGAATACTGGATAATTAATTCAATATAGCTTTCAAAGCTATTCATTCCCAATAACTACTGTAGCAGTTGCTCTCCGATTGTGGTTAAAATAATTGTTGTATCTTATTGAGTCTCTTAACCCCTTTTTTTCCCTCCTTATTTTACCACCCTTAAATTTTTACTCCCTCCAAAATTTTCTTACCCAATTTTCCCCCACTCTTTTGTCAACAGAATTGAAGTGTCATTAGACTCATCACTATCCATAACTAAGAACTATATGCACGAAAAGTAAAGTAGTCTGATATCAACCATTACATCTTCTAGTATTCCCATCGGGTTGTCGAGATGATTTATCTGCTAACTGAATGGTCTGGCAAACAGGTACAATTCTAACTAGATTTAATTTTTTAAACACGCAGAATGACATCACATTTATCCTAGCATCAGAATTGACTAAGCATCTAGTAACTTTAAAAGTACAATAATGTGTTTTAGGCTATCGTGATATGATCATGATGTTCAATGCAGGGGCGGACCCAGGGGTTTTAGGGGTGTCCATTTCGGAAAAATGATTATCCAACCCCCAGTGGTAATTTACGTATAGACAAAAAATATAATTGATAGTGAGGGACACCCTTGAAATTTGAAAAAAATGATTATCCTACTGTCATTTGTGTATAAAAATATAAATGGTAGGTTGGGTAATTCAAATCTAGAACACTATTATTATTAATAAACTTAATTTCCGTTGAGCTACAACTCATTTGGTGTTCGATTTTGAAGAATGTGTAATAGTAAAAAGTCATTCCCTATCTCTAATTATTTTAATCTAAACTAATTTCAATATACCCTTAATTTGTATTGATTTTATGATTGTACGGTAAGTGTTGAAGAGTCTTTCAGCTTTGAGTTACATAAAAAATAAGTTTAAAAATCGAATATGCGATAAGTTCCTGAATGATTGTCTAGTAGGGTATATAGAGAATTTTTTTTAACACTATAAACACCAAGTGTATTCTACAATTATTTTCGAATATGAAAACACATCATGGACTTTTTTAACTTGTACGAGTAAGGTATTTTCATATTTACGATTTTATTTTTATTAATTATTTTTATTTAATTTATTTTTTTAAAAATGACACCCCTATGAAAAATTTCTGGGTCCGCACTAGTTCTTTTTTTTTTACGAAACCTGATTTCATTACGAAATAGGACAAATGATACAGAGGCGGACCATGGTCCTTGAAAGATAGAAGTCTAACCTAACCGAAAAGGTGAGCCCAAACAAAACACATAAAATGAAAAACCACCCATAAACATAAGAAAACAGCAAAAACAAAAGAGAAAAGACACCGAAAACCCACCCCAACATTTACAGCAGCCCAGCCCAAAAAAAAATCAAAGAGACAAACACACCTAAAACCACAACCCCGCCCACAAACAACCCTAGCCCAAAGAAACCAACACCATCAGACCACACCAAGCCGTCCCAAGCAGCTGTCCTGGAAAAAAGCATCCCAACAACCCACCGCCTCCTGCCGCTGCCGCAACCTGCCGCCTTCATCCGTCGCTGACAACAACCCGCAGGAAACGACCTCGTGCACCCAAAGACACCGCCACCGCCGCCACCCAAACCCCTGCGCACATCAGCCACGCCATCATAGCCTCCGCAAGTCACAATCGCCAACACCACCAAGCAGACACCATCCCCAGAAACCATCGCCCAGACGACAAAACACCCCCAAAACAACACCCCCAGGCAACACACGACCCCCTCCAAACCAACGCCAAACGGAAACGAACAGGGCATCAACAATTCGAAATGAAGACAAACATCCCTACACCAAACCACATGACAGTAGAACCAAGAGGCATCAAGCCAAACCACCGAATCACTACGCCATTTTGAGTGAAGCAAGGAGGACAGCTCTAAAAGTCACGAAGAAAGATGTAAATTGCAAAGCAATTCACTCTGATCATATAGAAAGACCTCAAGATCTGAAACTCAGATCTGACGTGTGGAAAAAACCCATCTCAAGAGATGAATTTCATGGCAAAATCCACTTAGGGATATCAAGCTAGAAATACAGGAAATCCACAGAGGGATTGGCAAAGCATGAAGAAAACTAGAAGAAAGCAAAAGAAAGAGCAAAATAGAATCAAAGAAACAAGAGTGGGTAGCCGCCGATCACCAAGAAGTGAATCGGCGGCCCCCGAATGGAGTCTGGAAAGGGAAAGCAAGAGAGAAGTTGGAGAGTTTCAAAATAGAGAGAGAAAGAAAAAGTCCTTCTCCGGGTCCGCCACTAGTTCAATGTCACACTTGCCCTGTGTTTGCTTACCTTATTGATAAGAGCTTAGCAAGCTTTTCTCTTCGGCTAGCCTTTATATCCCCTATGTCTTCCTTGCAACCAGACACCCTTTCTTTATCTGATTTTCCTGTTGTTCTGGAATTCAAGAGCTAAACGTTTGAAGCATGGTGTTGATTGATCTGGTTCTGGAGAGCGCTTCGTTTTTTAGAATCATAATATTTATGGCGAGGAGAATGATAATTGATACCATAGAATTCCTCATTAAGATGCTTTTCATTGTTCTCTTGCTCAAGTTAAAGAGGCAAGTTGAGCTTGTAAGGGGACTATTTGTTTAGCCATTGTTTCTTGATGATATGCCACCTAGATGATAGGTTAACCTAGAGAAGGATAATATAGGTTAGATTTTTAACTACGTATTATTTAAGCAATTCGAATCTGAGACCTTCAGGTTCGAAAACTAGTGGTGATACCACTGGACCAAGCCCTTGTTCGAGATCAGTCAATCGAATATTAAAGACATTGTAAATTCGCTGTTAAAATTTTTAGGAACTGCTAAAGTTGAAATTGTTTAGGGTTGGTTGGCTGCCCGCGGCTAAATAATTTAGTAACGAGAATTTTTAAATGTCTTATACGTCATAAACCAGTGGGTGCGAATAACTAGAGTTGTTGGAAGAAATTCAATTATGAGTCATATACTACTTAGTACTTACTAACACCCCATCTCCCACAGTCCCACCCCACCCCATAAAAAAAAACGAAAGTCTATTCATAAGAGTTTGAACTTTACACACGTCTTAATATCATATATTTAACAAATGAGATTATCGGGATTCAAAAAGAATACATTTAGTTCACAAAAAACTCTGATACCATATGAAAAGTCAATTAATCTTGATAATTCGAATTGTTAAAAAAAGTTCAATCATGCATCATATACCACTTGCTACTGATTTTCTTATGCAGCACCAGAAATTATTAAAGGCCAGCAATATATATTATGACATACTAATGTAGATGTGGATATGGATGGTGGTGGCGCCTAGACACAGCTCACATCTTGTGGAGAAGAAACCATCCCAAACCCTAATAACACTCAGCTCTGCCCCATCAACATCTTCCCCCAAACTCCTGTTCATCAAATTCTATCTCCACTTAAACTCTTTTACATTTACTATGAGTTCCAAACAAGATTGTGATGCCAAACCCTAGCTGTACATGGTTACATACACAAAAGCATTCATTCACAGACACACACAGTAGCAGAGACCATGCATATGTCCAGAGAATGACATTGGTCATAAATGAAAGTAGGCACCATATGCAATCATCTGATCAGTGGAACAGCGACTAGTCTGAACTCTGAGGCTAGCAGATCAGTCAATATCCTTCTTACAGATGATAGCTAACTTATTGGAAGGCCACAAAACAAAACCTGTTATAATCCGGTTGGTCCCAATAAATTATATAAATTTTGTGGCTCTTAAATTTTATGCCGTAATCAAAAGTGATAAAGGCATGGATTTTATAAATTTTGTAGCTATTGAATTTTATACCGTAATCAAGAATAATACTAGCTACTACCCTAAAAAAATCAAAAGGTTCTGATTTTGGTGGTCCGGGAAGATCATAGTTTAGGTCACAATTATAATCTAGTCAAAGAATTATCCATGTGGTCCTGTGGCCAAGCTTCTTCCTTTGCCCCCTTTTTGGGAATATTGCATCCACTCACAGGGCTCGTCGTAAACAATTGACTATATTTAAAGGTTTAATGTTATTCTTCTTTATCCAAAAATCAGTATTAATAAAAAAAAGGTCTAAACTTTACTAAATATATGAGATTCATTGTACAAATTTTCTAATCAGATAATCTTTAGATTTTAGTTGAGGATGTAAGAGAACAATTTTTACTACTAGTTACACAACCATGTACATCGATGAGTGCATAATTTTCACCAGAATAAAAGCCTCAATCACAAATATAATTTCGAGATACTATTCAGCACGAAAATGAGAACTGCACCAAAGATGTGACATAACCCTTGATCCACTTAGCCAAATCAGAGAGAAATCCAAACACTCTGTCGCCTTAAAAAGCACTTTCCAATAAAAGTTAGGGTTAAAATCTTATTATGGCCCGAATTATTACTATATAATCAACTTTGGTTCGTGGTTTTAGAAATTAATATCGTGGTCTCAATTATATAGCATATAGAGTCAATAGGTCCGACACATTGTTTGACCGTCAATTTGGATGGTCAACACCGTTGATCGTTAGTCAACACGCCATGTCATTGCCTCGTCAGCTTAAAAATTATTTAAAAAATCAAAATCAAATTATTTTCCTAATTTCTATTATTTATCATTTTCAAATTAACAAAATTTTTAAAAATATATAAAATATATATTTTATTTTTGGGATATTTGCAAAATGATAACTTTTATAAATGAACCAAAAATTATCAAATTAAATTTTATAAATTTAAAAAATATGATATAAATTATATATTTTATTTTTGGGTAGTGTTAAATATATAAAATAAAAGCCCTTTCTCTCTCTTTCGTTCTCTGAAGGAATTCTACGGGATATCGATGGAGGCCGTCACCGATGGTGTGGCTGCTGTCGGTGGCGGTCGGTCATGGGTTTCTTTATTTGGGGTTTCGGAGGATAATCGCCTGGAGTATTTCGAGCCTGAGTATGTGAATGGCTCGTTACGGATCCCGCGAGAGGTGATCGAGGAAGGTGCTAAGAGGTGGGAGCACAGCCTGGTAGGACAGCTCATTGGTAAGCCAGCTTCACTCTATTCTATTCGTTACTGGGCGAATTGGATATGGGGGAAGGATGGTGAAATTAGGGTCGCGTGGATGGGAAAGAAGCTTCTTCTATTTCAATTTCCGAATGCTGAGATCTGTCAGTGGGTGTTTGAGAATGGTCCTTGGCACCATCGTGAGAATCTTGTGTTTTTGCGTCGCTGGGAGCCAGGAATTAGCCCTCTAGCCATTGATAATACAGTGTTGCCTATCTGGGTTCGATTGTCTAATCTTCCGTCTGAGCTAACTACTAAGGTTGGGCTGGGGAGAGTTGCGAGTTCTTTGGGGAAGCCACTGTGTATGGATAATTCTACAAGGTCAGGAAGGAAAGTGGGGTTTGCTCATATCTGTGTGGAGGTTAAGGCGTTGGATAAAAGGGTTTCAAAGATGAGTATTACTCCGGATGGGTTGCCTGAAATCTTTGTGGATGTGGAGTATTGCAATATGCCACAGGTCTGTATGAAGTGTGGATGTTTTGGGCATGACTGTGCTGCTCCTCGTGGACCTAGTAAGCAGGTTTGGAAGCCTCGAGTTTCGGTTATTGGTGAGAGTGTTCCTGTGATTACAGAAGTAGTATCTGTTGCTGATAAAAGTGATAAAAGTGCAAGAGTGGATATTGTTGAAGATCAGGTGGAGACTATTGGAGTGGTAAGGCAGGTGGAAGTTACCCCTCCACCAGAAGCTGCTTTAATTGATGAGGAAGGATTTACTTTGGTGGTTAATCGTCGGTAGAAAACCAAAGCTGGGCCGTCAGGTGTGAGTCAAGGGGCTAGGCGGGCTTTGGTGGATGATAGGGCGTTTCCTCGGCTGCAGCAAAGCTGTTCTAGCAGTAAAGTTGAAGCTCCTCCCCCAAGAGGTCGTGGAAGGGGGAAGAAGCGGGGTAAATGAACATTCTGAGCTGGAATGTCAGGGGCTTCAATGCTCCTGATAAGCACTTAACTCTGTTAAAACAGTTAAGGAAATTTAAATTTGATATAGTAGGTTTATTGGAAACTCGAGTAGTAGTAGAAAATAGTAAGAGAATAATAGAGGGAGTTTTTTCGGGTTGGCAGCATTTGGATAACTATAGTAAATCTAAGTCTGGGAGAGTTTGGATTTTCTGGAAATCTGGGTTGAAAGTCACTTGCCTAGAAGAGGGAGAACACTATCTGAAGGTACTGGTTGATGAGCAGTCACCCTTTATTGTGCTGTTTGTTTACAGTCCTAATAAGGAGGCGGAGAGGAAGATTCTGTATAGAGAACTAATTGCACTTAAAGAAGTCTCTATCCCTATGGTTGTAATGGGAGATTTTAATGCCATTAGTGAAGTGAAGGAAACATCAAATGTGGAGCTAGTAACTAATAGTATGCTTGATTTCCGAGAATGGATGAAGGATATGGAGGTTGTGGATCATAAGGTTGCAGGGTCATGGTTTACGTGGTGGAACAAGCAGAAGGATAATCCGATTGCACGAAGGATTGACAGAATTTTAATGAATGAGGCCTGGCTTGATAGTTTCCCTGTTAATTCAGCGAGCACTATTCCCCCTGGAGTTTCAGATCACTGTGGTTTGTTATTGCATACTGCTCCTCAATTACGTTCCCTACCCAAGCCATTTAAATATTTCCTATTCTGGCAAGCACATCCTCAGTATTTTTCTATTATTCAAGAGGCTTGGAAGAAGTCATTTAGTGGCTATCCACATTTTGTTTTTTATAGTAAGCTGAGTCAGGTGAAGTCAGGTTTGAAGAAGCTTAATCGAGAGGTATACTCAGGTATATCTAGCCGAGTTCGTGAGGCTGAAGTTGCTCTGGAAATAGCTCAGTGTGCTGTTTTGAAGGATCCTTCTCCACATCTTGTTGAGGAAGAACAGAGAGCAAACTTAGCTTGTCAGGAGTTGAGGAAAGCTGAGGAGTTGTTTTTCAAACAGAAATCTCGAGTCCAGCATATTCAAGAAGGGGACTCTAATACATCTTTTTTCACAAATCTGTTAAAATTAGAAATCAGAAGCAGCAGATAACAAGGTTGTATGACTCTCAGCAGAATATGGTGACTGATGTGCTAGGAATAGGGTCAATTGCAGTGGATTTCTATTCGAAACTGATTGGTCAAGTGGATCCAAATGTTCAGAAGTTTCCAGTAGAGTATTTTCAAAGTCTTATCCAGCATAAATTGAGTGTTGAGGATGGTGATGAACTAATGCAAGGAATTACAAGGATGGAAATAAGGAAGGTATTTTCTGTTATGGGGAAGGGTAAATCACCTGGACCTGATGGATTTCCGGTGGAGTTCTACAATGCTCACTGGGATATTATAGGAAGAGATGTTGAAGAGGTAATTTTAAAATTCTTCTCTACTGGTCACTTAGCTCAAATTGTGAATTCTACCATTTTTGCTCTGGTTGCTAAGATCCCTAGTGCTGAACACATGAAAGATTATAGACCTATTTCCTGCTGCAATGTTATGTACAAGGGAATTTCTAAGTTGTTAGCAAATAGGTTGGCCAGGGTTCTACCTAAGCTGATTAGCAAATCTCAATCTGCTTTTGTGAAGGGAAGAGCTATTAGTGATAATATTTTGTTGGTTTCTGAATTAGTGAGGGATTACCATAAAAAAGTAATTACACCGAGATGTGCAGTAAAAATTGATCTCATGAAGGCATTTGATTCAGTGGATTGGGATTTTTTATTCAAAGTTATGACTGCTATGAATTTCCCTGATGGTTATTTGAGGTTGATTAGAGCATGTATTACTACTCCTCTTATAAGTGTGGCTGTGAATGGTGGGTTATGTGGAAGAATCTCAGCTAGGAAAGGGCTCAGGCAAGGGGACCCTTTGTCCCCTTATCTGTTTGTTATTGCTATGGAATTCTTGGACTGTTTGGTTAAGAAGGATGTGGCTGATAATCAAATTCCCTTCCATCCAAGATGCAAGCCACTTCATATAACTCATGTATGTTTTGCTGATGATTTGGTGATGTTTACCAATGGATCCATTCGAGGGGTTGCTGGTATTAGACGTTTGATGGATAAGTTTTATTCTGTTTCTGGGCTAAGATGCAACCCTGCCAAATGCCAACTGTTTTGTGCTGGGATCCCTCAGGAGGAAAAGGAAAGTATCTCAACTTATTCAGAGTTCCCACTTGGGACTTTACCTGTGAAGTATTTAGGGGTTCCTTTGATTACAGGTAAGCTCTCTCATAGAGATTGTCAAGTCTTAATTGATCGAATAACTCAGAAATTAAGGAGTTGGAGAACAAAATCACTTAGCTATGCTGGCAGGATTCAGCTGGTTTCCTCAGTTATTACTGGTACTTTGCAATATTGGCTTAATCTGTTCTTGCTACCTCAATATGTGATTAAAGAAGTGGAGAAATTGTGCAATGTGTTTCTATGGAATTCTGGGGAGGATAGTTCGAGAAAGAAAGCTGTAATGGCTTGGGGGTTGTTGGCAAAACCGAAACTGGAAGGTGGGTTGGGTATAAGGAATTTTGGAATCTGGAATAAGGCTTGTGTCTTAAGATACATTTGGGACATTCTAACTTATGGGGGCTCTCTCTGGGTTGCTTGGGTAACTCGGTATCGCTTGAAGCAGAAGAGCATTTGGGATGTAGCTCCTAGCTCTGCAGGGATGTGGATCTGGAGAAGAATTCTGAAGTGCAGACACTTGGCTGCTATGTTTATTTCAGGAGTGGCACCAGATGT